TGCTTCTGACTTGGTTTCCCCAGGTAAGACAAGGAAGTGAGGGGATGCAGCATGTGTGTACCCAAAGATAAATGGCAGGTGCTGAGTGGTGAGGGTTCGAGGGGCCCAGGGAGGGGGTGAAAGAGAAGGTGAAAGGGCAGGTGTTGAATCGCTGAAGTTGTCAATTTGGGGGATATTTACAAATAGGAAAAGTAATAAGAACAAAAGAGGGGACCCAAGGGATAGTGCTTATTTAAAAGACCATGGTTGACATAAAAAATTTCCCAGCAAATGCCAACAGTTTCGTAGCTTTGAACAGCCAGATTTCATAAAGTTCCCGAAAAAGCTCCTCCCTCGCTCCTTCTCACCGTCACCCTCCTGCTCATACAAGCTGTTCCCAAAGCACAGATTAAGGCCTGCCACCCACAAGGAGAGCCTGCTTTCCTCGATCTCATATGGCATCTACTTATCCTCACAACCTTCCAGATCTTAACTGCATAGCTTTTTGGCCTTTCATCTGTTTTCTGCCTTTCATCTGTTTTTGCCCTTGACATGAACCACCACTTTGGCTACTGCCCTGGCCTCCCCTTGCTGACCTGCCACTGCCAGCCCTTCCTCTCTCTCCTTTCCTCACTGCTCCCTCACTCCTGCTTTCTCTATGATTTGTGTAGCCTTGTCCCGTCACAGCTGGATTGATACATAGCTGCCATTTCAGGGCTAGTTCTATCTTCTGCTTTGTTCTAGAAACTTCACCATCAAGTCCAGATTCTTCAGCTTCACACAGATGAGGCACCTCATCTGTGGGCATACTCATCCCAGACAGAGAACACAGCGAGGCTCCGGGCTTTCTCTCTTCCCCTGGTTTCAGTAGCTATTATATCTACTTGTCTTTGTTGGTAGGGTGTCTGGAGTGATTCCCTCTTTCCCAAGAGAGACTCACATAGCCTTAGCCTGACCTAGACCTGAGACCCTTTCATTCTAAGAATTAGTGACTGGGGGGCATTTGTAACAGAGCCTTGACCTGTGGCTTTGTGTACACCATATAAGGACTTCTTAGTGTTCCTTCTTCAGGGGGCACTGTTGGCCAATAAGGATTGAAGCAAAGACGATGGGTATTTATAAACATGTATTCTAGATTGTGATTCTATGACTGAGCCCCATTGAGGACCAAGAAACGAGCTAATCTACACCCCCAACTTCTTAAACTGTGGACTGCCACCACATGGGGGGGGTCACATTACTGAATGTCCTTGTCACAAAAAATTTGGCAACAGTAAAAGGTTTGCGAATGTGCAACAACCAAAAATTGACCAAAATCAGTACATAAGGGTATTTCTGGAAGCACTTACCACGTAGATCTTACAACTTCACGTCCACCTTGGTTCTGAAAACACGGCATATACACTTTACACAACATACACTGTCACACCACACAGCACCAGTGAGCACAGCCTGAAACACCTCAGCTCAGATTCGAGAGTGTTGTGTGCTAGGATTTGCAGTATTTTTACTACATAAAGTTTTCTGCTCTCACAGAAACACAATGGTTTAATTATAGGAAATAAACACTTTTAATATTTTCTCCTTATTCTTCAGCATGTAAACATCAAACTAGTGTATCTTGAATTGCGTTGTATTGGAATTCTTGATTTTAGAAATTGCAGTTTGAGTTCTGACTTGAGTTTTATAAAAAATCACGAAATGGAGGCTGGACATTACAGAGTCTTTTTGGTCATTATTCCTTGCGCGATGCAGTCTTACAACTATTTACAAAGCATTGACATTATGCTTAACATTTTAAAAATATTTAAAACATTATTTACTATTTATTTGCCTGTGTGTGCATCCACACATATGTAGATGTGGGTGCCACAAAGTACACAGATCAGAGGGCAACCTGTGAGAGTCAGTTCTTTCCTCCCACTGTGCGGGTCTTAGGGATCAAACTCAGATGGTCAGGCTTGGCAGTAAGCACCTTTACCAGCCGAGTCATATCTCTGGCCCCTATATTTGGTATAAGTAACCCAGAGAAGATTTTAAATATATAGAGGGATATGTGTAGTTTCTGTGAAAACACCATGCTGTTTTGTAGGAAGAACCCTCGTACCCATGGATTTTTGCATATAGGGGATGCTGGAACCAATCTCCCTTGGTACTGTAATTGCCTGAGAAAGCTCCTTGAAGTTATTTAATCTATCTTCACAGACAGATGAGGGGAAAGAGTGTGGTTTGATCCAGGGCAATCCAAATCTGTATATAATTAAGAGATAAAGGTATGACTGTAATTAGTATGACATTTTAGAGGAAGTCAAACCACCAGGTTAGATATGCTGGAGTTTATCTTGCAGAGCTGTGGTTGAGCCTCAGAAATGCTCCAAAGGCTGTTGTAGCTCAAGTCATTTCTCAGGAATTTACCCAGCAGATGCAGACTCTGAGATAAGAGCAAAAGGAGCCTGAACTTGAATGAACAGGCAAGCCGCTTTAAATGGTTTTAACTCGCACCAGCTTTCTTGAAGCAGTTTTTGGGTCAAGTGACACTGTATGTGTTTGTGACTCGGTGACAGCTCTGTAGAGGCTATGTGTTTTTCAGCTTATCTAGACTTCTTTGACAGTCTTTCAGCAGGGGCTGGGACACAGCCTGGGGCTATCCAGGCAAAGGAATTTTATCTGCTTAGGCAAGAATAAGGTGAATGTATTCAATAAAGTGGGATCTTACTACCTAAAGGTAAGGGTGGGTTTTTTTTTTTATTTTTTGGTTTTTTTAATAGATTTCTACATACTTTGTAGACAAGTAATTCACTATAAACTGTATGACGGTCATTTCATTTTTTCAAAGTGAATCACCCAGACTTGTCATAATAGGTACTAACATGCATGAGATTCTTTTTTAAAGGCAGGAAGTGAAATTAGAAGGCGGGTCTGTGTTTAGAGTGGGATGGGGTGAATGGACACAGGTGGACACACAGAATTCCCATTTGACCCAAGAAACACAACCTCGATGAAGTGTTGTGCGATTGTGGCTGTTCCTCTAGGGCAGTAGCTTGCAGAGCTTAGAAACAGTCCTAACTGAACTCTGATTTAGCAGGAGACAGAGCAGGTTGAGTAGCCCTTATCCAAAATGTTTCACCCCAAAGTATCTCAGATTCTGGAGGGTTTCCTGTTTGTTTGGTTTTGGTTTAGAGGGGTATTTTAAATTATGTGAATGGTTGAGCAGCCCTAATCTGAAAATCCAAAGTCTAAAATGCTTCAAAGTACAGCAATGGTGTCAGCATACAGAAGACCCATGGAAACTTAAGCAGACAAAAACCCAGCACAAAACTGTGGAAATGGGCAGCAAGTGCAATCTTAGTCGAAGAATTATTGTCAGCTGACTATTGGGTGAGGAAAAGCTGATCTTTTTAAAGGGAGAGACTCTAGGTAGACTGACTAGATCCCAGTGGATGAACTTGCACTGAGGGACACTAACTTTATATGATAAGCTTTAACACAAAGACAGAAGGTGTGAACTCCAGTGGGGGAACTATGGAAGGACCAAAGGGGAAGGGGTATAAAGATGATTTTCTGTATAAAATACAAAAACTTCAATAAAAATTTTTTAAAAATGTTTCAAAGTATGTTGGCACTCAAAAGTTTTCAGATTTCAGAGCATTTTGGATTTTGGAATTGGGAGGACTCGACGCAACACAGAATAGCCAAAGCCCATGAAAGAATACTTAGATCCTAGATAATGTTTATAAATACTTAGGTTTTCGATTTGCATTGACTGTTGGTTCCCAGGATGCTTTGCTAGAAGAAATGAAGAGGCTGAACTCGTATCTCAATCATCTTCATCTGGCCAGGCGGTACGTTCACTTTCCCACACAGCTTTTGCTGAGATTCCCTGCAGAATCGTAAGGTTTGACAATGTTCTGGGAGTACAACACTCATGTCTGTGGGTGCAGACTTTGCCATAAAGAGATGTTATTATCTTAGGGACCGTATTTGTATTAATCTGCTCATAAGGGAGTGAATTGTGAGGTTTTATGTTTTGTGATACTAATTCTATTTTTGAACTGTTAAGGGAAGAAGAAATGATTGTGAGCATTCTCTAAGACACAGGAAAAGGTGGAGGGGAAGGGCCAGCCTATCCATCAGAAACCCCATGTCATACAAATTTCAAATTAAGTTCAGCTCAGTCCACAATGGCCATTCTCACACACTGCTAAAAAACGAAGTAGGCAGATACTCTCAAGGAAACTTGTTAGAAACTGCCTTTATTTTGTTCGATATTTTCTACTTACCTTTTATTTTTATTTTATGTGTATGAGTGTTTTGCCTACATGTCTGTAAGTCTGCCACTTTTGTGCAATGTTCACAGGGGTCAGAAGAGGGCACTAGAAGAGGGCACTAGATCCCCTGGAACTGGAGTTCAGGTGGTTAGTTACTATGTGGGTGTTGGGAACCAATCCCGGATCCTCTGCAAGAGCAGCCAGTGCTCTTAACTGCTTGAACCATCTCTCCAGCCCCTATTTTGGGGTGTTTGAGACAGGCTCTCACATAGCACGGACCAGCCTCAAGCTCCTGGTCGTCCTCTTTGCTTCCTGAGTGCTGGGATTACAGGTGCATGTGCCACCAGACCTGGCTTTATGATATTAAAATAGAAAATTCTAAGATTTGCTTCCCTGATCTAAATCTGTTTTCAACTTTTCTGGACTAGCCTTTGCCACACACGCACAGATGCATACACTTATGTACATGTACACACACCCCCCAAAAAGCCTTAAGGAGGTCCTCTCCCCTCTGTTTCAACATTTTCAGAATGGTTTGAACCAGATGGCTCCAATTCATATATTCAGTCATTCCCAATCAGAAGTGGAAGGTCAGTGGATTCCCACAGTTCAGCTTCACAGATGCTGACAAAGCCTCACCCCAAAGCTCCCTCCCCCAAAGGCACCCCTTCCTGCTTCGGAGCCCACAAACAGGGCAGTCACTAAATCAGGAGCACCTGGGGCTAGAAAAAGGAGACCAAGCTGGAGCATGGCTTCTTTGAAATCTTTATTTGCCGAGTTCATCCTCTCTCCCACCAATGCTTATCCCACCAAAGCAAACTGTGAACAGCTAGAAGCTATGTTCTGAGCAGCACGGGCAGCAAGTTGGGCATGCGCACCTTGGTGGAGCCACACATCCAGACCCAGAGCATCACAAAGGCACCAGTGGGCATCTGCTCAGTAGCCGGGATCTGCAGACCGGAACTACTGGAGGTGGGGCAGGAAGGAAATCTACCATGCCATAGCAGTTCAGCCTTGAAAACACTAAGCACAGTTGTGATCATTGCCATTTTTTTATTACTATTTTCTTTCTTTTGCTTTAATAATAGAAAATGAAAACTAAAACCTTCTATAATTTATAAGCTATTTTTCCTATCTACATTATATATAAAATATAGACTCTGTTTACTTTATAACATACATCTTTCCCCCCTTGATAAATAACTTTAAAATATCTAGTATACATGCTTTGACTTTTTATATATGTTTGGTTTTATACATATACATACATATATACCCATGTTTGTAAAACACAATAAATATATACTTGAACATGACAGCTAAACCAATGTAATTTTGGTTTCAAAATAATAAGAAAAAAAAAAACCCACACACAAAAAACAAAGTACTACAAAAGCACCAGGCAACAAACAGAAAAGCCATAATTGCTAGAAAGTTCTCCCTCCCCTGGACAAGGGACAGGGCAGAATAAAGGAGCAAGGTCAGGTTATGTGCTTAACCTGGGATTCGACTCCACATCACAAACAAATCATTGCATTTATGAGACGTTGTGAGGCTCACTGAACAACCTAGCCCTTGTGGTGGGCTACAGGGAACAGGAGACAGTTGGACAGAGCTTAGGAGACAGTGACATGGTGACCCCACTGCCTATGGCCTCCCTGTGCTACCAGTCCAGGCAAGCTTAGATCGCCGCACTAAGCATCAAGCATTGTGTCTAGCATGTTCTTTTTATTATTCTGTTCACTGCTCGTGTAAACAAAGGGTTGCAGCAGATTCAAGAGTATTCAGGAGTGCTGTATGTCAGCAAGCCTGAAAGAGAGCCAGAGGCTTTGGTGGCCTTCTCAATGACTCCAGCTAGTAAGGACTCTGATGCCAGGGAGAGAAGGCCATCTACTCCTTACATCACACAGACCTTTGAACACCGAAACCACAGGCCCATGATCTTGGAGAAGCACAGGGGGGCTTTTAACACCTCTGCAGACAAGTTCTAGAAGCCCCCGCCCATCTGATCTGTTTCCAGAAACTCACAGCATGCCCCATCTGCCAGCTGCTGACCAGGGTGGACCAGCAGGACAGCACAATCACTGCTGGAGACAACTCTGGAGCCGCACTGCAGACACACAACTTTCCTTCCCTCCTCCTTCACCCAAAGGAAATCAATACAATGTACCAACAGTTGTTTAGTTTTTCTCCAACAAGTTCCCCAATGTCATGACTTCGGCCCTGTAAATTCCAGGGGGTTTGACAAAGGAGGTCACCAGCAGGTGGGGCAAGAGTCTAGACTAGTCAGAGTCAAGATTTGTACCCAGCAGGGGGCAAAGGGGCAGTAGTAGAGTGGGTCCTAAGAAATCCCCAAGGTGAACATCTGAATTTATGCCCCTCAGCTTCCATTAACATACAAACTAAAGATAATAGATCCATTATGGACACAATGAAAAATATTAAACAGCTAGTTTTCGGAATACATTCAAAACATAATTGAGGCTAGAGATGTGGCTCAGTGGTAGAGAGCTTGCCTACCATGCACAAAGCCCTGGGTTCTAGCCCTAACATACACACACACACAGTCTTTTACATAGCCGGTAACCGTTTGCTTAAAAAAAAAAAAAAAAAGAAGAAGAAGAAGAAGAAAGAAAGAAAGAAAGAAAGAAAAAAGGAAAAGAAAAGGCTTCATCACAGCTCAGGGAACACTGTCCAGTGCAGGGCCAAGCTCTAATTCCAACTTCTCCACCTAGGCAGATGGCTCACGTAGATGAGCCTCCTTTCCCCATCTGGGAGCCCTGAAGAAAACTGAGAATCACAAAACTGGGCTTCCTACCCTAGGTCTACCACTAAAGAAGTAGGTGACCTTGGTCATCAATTTCTTCTCTGGGATGTAAAAGGGGTCTACTAGTTCACACTCTAGAGGCCTTTCAAATGCAATTGGGTTGACTTTGTCCCCAGGATATCATTATCAAAGCTGATTTCCTCTAGTGCCCACCAGACAGAGATCAGATCAGAAACCTAATGTATAACTGTAGATCAAGTTCAATAGCTGAAGAGAGAGAGAGAGAGAGAGAGAGAGAGAGAGAGAGAGAGAGAGAGAGAGAACAAATGCACAGCTAAAACCCATAGTCCCAAACAAAACCCTAAAGCCTGCTCCCTGAGAAAAGATGCCTTCCTATGTCACACTCCTGGCAGCAAAATTCAAGGCCATCTATCATAGCCAACAATGCTTTGAAAGTCTGTAACACTGAGGATGCTGAGTCACTTAAAAAGTCAACTTTGAAAGTCCATCTTAAAAGAAGCTGAGTGATATTTCCATTTTGGAAGGGGAAGAAAAATCGACTACTTCTGTTTGCAGCTTTAATAACCAGCTGGCAGGACATCAAATTTTGCATCCTGCCCAACAGGAAAGCGGGCTGCCCAGTCTCAGCCCACTCCTCCCATGATGCTCCTTGGGGTGGGAGTATGCCTTTCCTGGCAAGAACAGCAGAAGCACAAACCACAAACTCTAGTTTGCTCACTCATTGTGTGCTTTGGGTATGTTATATTTTCATATATACGTAGAGGAAATGACAGTAGTCAATACTGTATTTTATGGATTGAATGAGATGATGCACTTAAAATATTATGCATACAGTGGGTAAGTCAGGTGACACTACACCTAGAGCACTGACAATACCTGACCCGATGGGACTTGCTGCCAGGTAGGCTAAGCTGCTTTGGAGGTAGCCCACAATGCAACTTTACCACTGAGAGAGAAGTCTTAGAGAAACTCACAGTGGCCACAGAGGAGAACTCCTAGACCCCGAACTTTGCACATAAACCCAGGGCATTCTCAAACACTTGGTTAAAAAACCCTGATCTACAGTCTCTGAGATCCTGAACTTCAGGACTTCTGTAGCGGACACATCAACAAATCAGGCAAGGGGGAACTTAATGGGGACACCCAACATGCTGCCTCCAGTACATAATGGCCTTGAACCATGTTAAAGAAATTAGAAAGGGGCTGGTTATTCCAGGACTTAGATCAAAGCCAGTTTGCAGAATGATTGTTTGAGATTTCAGCCTCGTGTCACTGCTGCCAATCAAGAACTTGCAATCAAGAAAAGCCTAGGGCTGCAGAATACTAAAGAAATCTCTTAAACTCATCTGCTGCCGTCTTTACATTAAAACGATCTTTTCTTCCTCCTCTACCTCTACTACATGCATTGCAGGAGATGAAATCGGAGCACACTTACTATTGCACATGCTTTTTTTAAAGAATACGTATTCTTTCTAGGTCTTTAGGTTTCTCTAGCCTCAAATGAGAATTTTTGTTTTAGACCCTGCCTGTTATCACAGAGCTCAGAGGCCTCTGTAGGGGAGAATCTCAAGAATCAGTAGAGAAACAAAAAATTGAGCCTCAAGAATTTCTACTTAGAGTATAAGTAACTTAGAAAAATGAACCCTGTGGTTCATTCTATCCTGCCCCCTACCCTACCCACTACATCCTTAAACACAGACTTTCAGGGTAACTAGAAAAAAAATTTGTTTCTTTCTCTTCCCTAGAGGGCAATTTAGGAGTACAAGAGTGACAAGAGTCTATGACATGGCCCTGTGAACAAAAGAGTCCTGGGAGACACCCAGTCCACTAAATCTCCCATTTTGATCTGATAGATGTAAGCCTGGAATGCTGGCATGAGGGATATCAACCAATTGGGAGCCTTGGGGAGTTTCAGTTGACTGATAGTAAAAGATGTTTTATAGTTTCAACTGAAAAGTGAAAGATCCCCCCCTTCCCCCATTAGCCTTCTTCACCTATGTACACACCATGCTGCAGTAGGACCCTGGGAAGTTGGATTTCTAGCAAAGCAACACCTGCTCCTTCATACTAGAAAATGGTTATCCCTGGTATGTGGGCACATGGATGACTGTCCCTGTGAGTCACCAGGGAGGAGCATAGGGGAGTACTGGCCAGACTCTTCTCAAATATTGCTTATTCAGAGGCTTGGGGGTGGGCTGTAGGGCCAAAGACATTCATCAGGACTCAGTGAGACTGCACAAAAGCTATGCGGACTACTTACACAGGCGTCTCCATATCCAGCCTCAGAACTGCCACATGACAGGTGAAGGTCAGCAGAAATGACCAAAAAAGGACAATTCCCCCATTTTCGAAATGTACATAACTTGACCTTTCTTTCAAGACCAGACCTGAATTCTAAAGAATATTTCTAGTGACATCTGAGGAGAGCTCATTTATAAATGTGTGTCTCTCTGTGTGATGCGCTTTGTCTCTGCCCACTGTAAGCTTGAAGTGGACCATCTCTAGTTTCATTTTTCAGTTCTGTAAATAGGGTGAAAAGACATGGGAGACTGGAGAGGAAGTAAAAGGTGGTTTTTTCCAACATTAGTCTTCTTCACCTATGCACACCCCTTTGAGGGCTCTAATTCCCCATTTTAGAAACACTGAAAATTGTGTTCCTTACTGGCTTTCTGTTTTACTTAATACCTGTTCAGAAGTTTTCAGGTGTCAGAACCCTGAAGCCAGGCCCAAAGATAAGGAAAAGAGCCTTGATTCTTCTTAAAGACTCTATGTGAGTGAAAATGAAGGCTTCCCCTTTTAAACACACAAAGCGAGGAATCACATCAATGCCTTTCCTCATCTTGGTAGGAAATATGGGTATTGGTGCCAAAGCAACTCTGGGACTGGAGTCATTTTCTCCTCTTTTTGGGAGTTCACACTGCGGCTCACACTGCAGTGGTCCCCAATCCTGGAGGACAGAACAAAAACTTGCTATTTAGTCCACACTAGGTGTGGCATTCTTGGTGATGCCTAGAGAGCCTATTCATAACTTGTTCCACTGAAAAGAGTGCTTTGAAGTGGCTCCTTGTGCCTGTCTGTTACTGATCAGCTCAGAGACTCCAGTGTATGTTCTGCCTCACCTGTCTGGATGCAGAGTGCTTTGCTCTCCACTAAGGACGCTCACCACACCAGGTGAGGGGCAACAGACTCACTTAATGCTTCCAAGGAGGAGGAACAATCAAGGAACTGTATATGTTGCTAGCAATTTTCCTTCAGATCCTTAAGGTAGAGCCCAAAGTGGCTTCCTGGAATTGGAACTTTCTTACCAGTCCAACTCACCTCTTCCTCTCCCTACACCAAAAAGCTTATTTAGACTCCTGCCAGTGGGGGGCGCTGAGCTTGCCATCTGATACAGCACCTTGACTCGCAAAGAAGGCCAAGGCCTGTGGATGGATGAGGTAGGGAGGGGAGCTGCCCCTCCTTGCTTCTCACAGTAACGGGCAGCAGAGGTGTTGCCTAAACTTTCGTCCTCCCATGCAAATACCCAGCAGGGACCATCTAAAGGATAGAACGCCCCTCTGAATATGAGCTTGGCCTATGAAGTTGGAGATCACCCTCTCGGGTGCCCATGGGCTCATGCCGCCCCTGCCCCACTCCCACAATCCCCATGATCACCCTCTCCCCAGTGCACTTGCCCCTAGCTGGCCCCACACAAAAGACCTCCAAGTCCCCAGTCCCAGTGCTAACAGTAGAGGGACATCCTGCCCCTGCGCATGGCCTCGCTGATCAGATAGGCGGGGCTCAGCTCCGGCTCCTCGGTCATGATAGCAATGTTCTGCCACTCGCCAGTCTGACTGGACCTCTTGATAGTATCCACCACGCATAGCGCGTACAGGCAGTCGTCAAAGGTGGCAGCCATGGTAAGAGGCCTACCATCCCACGTGCGCCGGTCATCCTGGTCCTGGAAGGCCTGGCGCACCGCCTGCATCATCTTCATGGTGCCACGTAGATAGGGTGAGGGGATGTCGCTGAAGGCCTTCTCCGGCAGCAGGGAGTTGCTCACAGGCGTGGCATCCTGCAGCAGCAGTTCCTGCTCGGGGGCACTATTGCGCTGCCCATATAGGTCAGTGCCCACTGCCAGCAGGCGCCCGGCCGAGCCCACCACGGTCACGTCCTGCTTGAACTCTCCGGGCACATTGAAGTTCAGGGTCACTGTGCAACACACCCCGCCCTCTAGCACCATCTGGAAGGTGCAGAAGTCATCGCTGGTGATCTGACGGATGCCCTTGATGTGGTCCGTCTGCTTGACAAAAGTCTTTAGCAGCCCGTGGACCTTGACAGCCTTCTGACCCGTGAGGAAGGTGAGTAGGTCAATGATGTAGGTGCCCACCGAGTGCAAACCACCACCTCCCATCAAGTCGTCACAACTCCAGTTGTATTTCTTGCCCAGCAGACTGCCGCTGTGCACCTGCACCTCACACACCAACAGCTCGCCCACATAGCCCTCCTCGATCAGCTGTTTCATGCGCACAAAGGCCGGCAGGAAGCGCAGCACGTTGCCCATAATGCTCATGAGCTTGGGGTAGTAGTGGGCAGCAGACATCATGCGGAAGGCATCCAGTGGCGTGGCGGTGCGGTCGCAGATGACATTCTTGCCTATGCCTACAAGTGAAAGCAAGAGAGATCAGTGTGCTGCGCAGAGGGAACGCTAGGGGGCGCTGTGGCCACCAGGGCGGGTACCCCTCCCAAGGAGCAGTTTTTAACTATTTCCTAACACCTTTTAGATAAGAATGCATCATATTGCATAGCAGACCTTGGGCTCGATCCCCAGCACCCGCCCCTCAACACACACATATATCCTATGCATTTCAATATTGCTTTAAATTTGCAAATTGAATTAATTGTAACGTTAATGTACTGGTATTGATTTAAATAGATTTAATTTAATATATTTACATACCCTGTATTTAAAAGATATCTTTAATTTGTAAATGCATAAAGTACTTTATTTGATAGTTTTATAAATGTGTGCTTCTTGAAATGTAAGATGGTTTTATTAAACTGTACACTCTTTGTATGTATAAATATATTCTGTTAAAATCATATGTATAAGCATTCTTATATTTATATGTAATAAAGTTTTACTAAAATTGTATTAAAAAACATTCCTCGTGGACAGGAATAATATTTGGATATAACCAGTAAAGTTCAAGCCCTAGCCCAGGTAAGTCTGATGGTGAGGAAATTTGTTTTGGGAGGAAGGTTAGATTGAGACACGATCTCACAATGAGGCCAGGAACTTACTATGTACCTAGGCTGACCTCAAACTTGTAACCTTCAACCTACAGCTGGGATTACAGATCTGAGCCACCATTCTTAGCCCAAGAATGTCTTAATGGTGCTCTGAAAGGTCTATGTTTTGGGCTGTCCCCCTCCCTATGCGCCCCCAGGATTCTATTTGGAGTTTGTCTTGCTTGTTTATTTTTCATTTGGGCTGGAAATGGTCACTGATGTACTTAGTTGACTGTTTTTCTTTGGTCATAAGTATCCTGTATTCAGTAGATCTGATGGGTAGGCAGTGCCCCCCCCACCCCAATCTCACCTGCCTCTGGGTGGGGATAACTGCTTTTTGGTCAGTGGAGCTAGGCCAAATAAGAACGAGCCTCCTACTATGTCAGTAATGGGCCTATAAATTACAGGGCACTGCAAGATGCCTCTCTGAGCCCTTTATAGACTTAGTGCTTCTGGGTCTGGAGCAAACAACAGAAAAAGACTGAGAAAAAGATTTATTCTATTGAAGCCAGGAGTCAGAGAAGGGAAACAGCTCTACTGGACTTGGAGAAGCAGCCAAATGGATTTATTTTAGGCACACAGATTTGTTAACCAGCCAGATAAGATATAAGTAGAGGGTGGAGGGGCTACTGAGTCAAAGCATGGCCTGCTGACGTAGACCCTCAGTTTGCAACGTGGCCACTGCAGCTGCAGAAGATGGAGAGACGCTAAGGGAGGTAGGCTGATGAATCACACACTCCAGTTCCATGTGTTCAGACTGTGGGCATTTGATTGACAAAGTCTTTGAACTCTCCTAACAAGCTAAGATGGAGTTGTGTGGAAGTCCTGCAGTTGCAGATGTCTGACCAGGGAGGTACCAGACAAGGGAACAGCATGGAATATGACCCTCTCATGTTCCCAAGGAAGAGCTAGCCAAACAGTAGAAGTGATTGGCACAAACTGGAGGAAAGAATAGAACTGATACCCATAAACTTCAACACGCTTGCCTAGTTCGAGACCCGAGTGACACCTTTGAGCATACAGAATGCCCACATCTGCTTGCTGGTTCCACACTGGCAGAACTCAACTGTCCTTCTTCATGACGATGCATGGGCAGCAAGAAGTTCTTTTAAACTCCTAGTATATATGTGGGGGCAGAGGGATGAGGTAGCAATGCTTTGTATCACCACAAGTGCCATCTACCTGTACCACATGACAACAGCTCATGTTGCCAGGGACAGATTTACATGTAAACTGTCTCTGCAAGGACGGATGACAGACCCTGCCAAGATCTGCCCCATTCCTGTGGCATATGGGCTCTGAACTCTCCTGTGCTCTACCTCAAGTTCCCCTAAATCAGGCCACCTGACTGCCCTTTCTTTAGCAATGTAAACTGTCTCTGCAAGGACGGATGACAGACCCTGCCAAGATCTGCCCCCATTCCTGTGGCATATGGGCTCTGGACTCTCCTGTGCTCTACCTCAAGTTCCCCTAAATCGGGCCACCTGACTGCCCTTTCTTTAGCGTACTCAATTGGGCTCATTTATGAGTAGTATACTCTTATGTCCAATATGAATGGCATTTAAAAATTTTTTTCTATCACAAGAGCTATAAAAGAATAAGTAGAGAAAAAAACATATACCCCCAAATGATCAGTGAAAGGATAATTCTTGGCAGCTCTGTGAATGAAAAGATCAATGAACACTCCAGAAAAATGTAAGAAAAACATACATACAAAATGATACTCCCTCTGAAATCATGGATGATCCCTGTGGATACAGCCATCTGTTCCTATGGGCTATTGATTTATTCCTCAAGTCCATTAAGTTCCTCAAGGACAAAAATTAGAATTATATCTTGTGCCTGGCATGGTGATGCACACCTTTAATACCAGCACTCGGGAGGCCAAGGAAGGTGGATCTCTACTGAGTTGATGGGCAGCCTGGTCTACATAGCAAGTTCCAGGCCAGCTGAGGCTACAGGGAGGTCTCAAAATAAACAAACAAACAAACAAAAAAAGATTCAATCTTGTAATTCCTTGTTTCTCTTATGTTTGCAATCAGAGTGTTCTGCACACATTATCACTTGACCCACCCTCCACCTGACTTCTGTGACATCCATACTTTCAAGAGGGGTTTTGCTAACACCTTTGCATGCACTTATCCTTGAACACCATAAGCAACCTGTACAAATCTTTCATAAAGAAAATGACCTAAAATGTTAAGTACTGTTTCCTGCCCAAAGGCACTTTATAAAGCAAAAACCTGGGACCTATGGAAATGCCCCAGAATGGGTAATAAACTGGAATGCAGCCATATAATAAGAAAGTGAGTTGTCACTGGAGATGGCACCCTCAAAGCCCGTGCAAGAACAAGCAAGATGATTGTGATGTAATCATATATGAAAAGGGCTGTATTCATAGACACGTTGTGATCTCAGCCCTCCTTAAAGAGGCAGAAACATGCTGCAAGGGAATGCCTCGAAGAGTTCACAGTGGTTAACTCTAATCAATAGGACTGGACTGACTTTTCGCTTTGTCTGTTGCAGTATTGGGATTGAACAAGGGCCTGACAAAATTTAAGAAGATACTTGATCACTGAGCTAAACCAGCCCCCACCCCCTACTCCCCAGAGTTTCTTATGTTCTTCATAGCATTTTTAAAGTTTCTAGTGTTTGATCAGAAAGTTAAAAAAGAAACACTATGTTTTCTCATGTACTGTCTTCTAAACTTGAAGGGGTCAAGATCTTTGTAGCGCACCACTCATAGCGATGGGAAAGGACCCTCCTTAGTCCCTGGTAGACCAGCTGTCATGGGTGTGCCCTTGTCCTTGTTCCTAGGAGAGCTGATGGAAGCTGGTTGACCTTGACCTCTATAAGTTTCAGAGGCTCAGGCTGTGGTGCCTGTTCTTCTGCTCTAATCATCAGAATTTCTCTGTGGGTGTGGTGCTGGGGAACAGACCCCAGGGTTTCAAGCTGTGAGCTCTACCAGTGACCTATAATCTGTTTTTTTGTCTACATTACTCAGGCTGAACTTTCTCTAGAGCCTGCTGAGCTAGAACTTGTGATCCTCTTCCCTCAGCCTCCCATCTAGCTGGGATCACAGACCTGCATCACCAGGCCTGGCACTTAGAATCTCTTTATGAGAGAAAAATCTACTGTTCTGGTCTCATAGTGTTCAGCCTAAGAAGGTAGGTTATACTTTCTCCCTTCCAGTGATACTCTAGGGGAAAACCATCCCTACCATCCTGCATCCTTGCACCTCATGTGGTGCCACAGCACACATGCTGTAACTTTCACATTTCTATCCTCTCATGGCAAAACATGCTGCCCTCCTTCTAAGGCAGAGGACACAGACCTTTGAGACTTCCAACAAGTTCCCAGAAGTCAAGTTGTAGAGAACTCAGCAAAGGCCCTGGGAACACAGGAATGGACTCCATCTGTCTTCAAACATGGGCAGCGCAAAGCAAGGACAAAGCAGCAGCCAAGAAAAAGCATTCGTGTTTTGCCCAGCCCCAAACGCTTCCTGAGCAGAGAGAGTTCCAGCAAAGTCCTCTGCTGCCCACAGCGACAGAGGGGATCAAGTAAGCATTCTGCAAACCCACTATGGCTATGACGGATGCTGCCCACACTGCTGTTTCACCCCAGGGCCTGGGGACCATCATCCTACAACTCCAAGCCCAGCTGGCTCTGTCCCAGTGCCCAGAAATGGGTGTCTTGGGATAGTGCCACGTTGGTCCATATGGTGCTGTGTGGCTTAAGTAGGTGGCACAGAACATATCAGGACTGGTGGAAGGCCCTCTGGGGAAGATTCCTTAACCATCCTCTGCACAGACTAACTACCCCTTTGCAGGATGACACAGACCTTAAGCCAGGTCTTTGGGGACCTTTGGATCTAAACTAATTTAAAGACAAGAACCCCCATCAGCAAAAAATAGGAGCTACTTGGTTATCAAAGAAAGATGGGACCCTCCCCACCAATGCACAGAGCTGGAGTTGGGAGGCACAGGAGATAGAAGGGGGGCTTCTGGAGGGAAAAATGCTCTCAGCAAAGTGGGGCACCTGGTCTTTATCAGAAGCATCTTGATGCCCTCCTGAGGTTTTCCATGGGAACACGGAAAGGCAACACAGTTTCTTCCAAAGCATGCAGAGTATTCCACCCCTGGGCTAAATGCTCATGGCCTTCATGAGGAGCTAGTACCATACAGGGAAGACGTTTCCAAGTAGGAGATGTTAAAACCACCCTCAGCCAGCTGCTGCCCTCAGGGTCTCCAAGTTGTGGCTGATTCCTAACTTAGGTCTTGACCTCCAAGAGGTCAGGTCTTCTGTGGGCTGATCCTCCACCCTGGAAGCCTGGGCAAGGAGCTTTCCATAAACACCTCTGGGGAAAGATA